CTGATAAATGAGCTATACTAAGGACAGGTGCTGATTCTCTGAAGTTGAGGTATTGCTTCAGACTGAATAACATTCCCAAGCAGCCCCTGGAAAAAGTCTGCAGTAACTGCAGTTATCGTAGTTAATCCCTCAGGCAAACACTGGCAATTTGGGCAAACAAATACTGTTGTGCAGTTGGTTTTATTGTTGTTATTTCTAGTGCAGTAAGCAGCAACCTGAGTTTTATCTCTACTACAGTGAACTTGATTTCTTTTTGACTCAGACTTCCTTGTTGATGTGAATGGTTTTTGTTGTAAGCTGTTATCTTGGAGAGTCCTGTGATGATGCTCTAATTATTCAGAAGGCAGCAGTGTTGTTTTTTGGGCTCAATTTATGTACAAGCATCTGAAACTGTCACTACCAAGTGACAAGCGTTCAGCTCATCAATCTTATGCTTTCAGTTCTTATGTTTTCTGTGTGCCTTCTCCAGAACTATAAAGTCTTGCACAAGTATGTAGCTCTGTATGCAACCCACCTCATCCGGGAGGGCAGCTGGGACAAAGCCCTGAGCCTGTATGTACAGCATGGAGCCCCTGTCAACCCACAGGTAATGAAGACAGCCTAACATCCCTGTGAGAGTTGCCAGAGAGCAGAGCTGCCCTTTCCTTAGCCTGTGCTTAGCAACAGAAGGGCTCCAAACTTCTGCCACTGAGATTTCACTCCTTTGTCTTGCAGAACTTCAACATTTACAAGCGTCTGTTTGTGGAGATGGTGAATGCACCTGGCATGAACTGTGCTGAGGCATACTCCAGCTGGGCTGACCTGCGTGATGTCCTCTTCAGTCTGGTGAGTGTGGGCCACGGCCACCACTACCTGTTAAAGTCTGAACTGTCCACTTCTCATCCTGTACCTATATACAGCAGCACAGGTGAGGGAAGGACCCAGAAAAAGCTCAGAACCGCTGAGCCTGGAAACTGTCTTCCCATCTCCCCTGAGCTGCTTCATACAATCATAGAATGGCCTGGGTTGAAAAGAACCACAATGATCATCTAGTTTCAACCCCCCTGCTATGTGCAGGGTCGCCAACCACCAGACCACGTATAGGACTTAAAGCCTTATGCTCCTTCTCTCCTGTCTCCAAATATCCCAGCCAGAGCCCGTGATGGCCTTTGCTATTTCTGTACCACAAATACCCACTCCCAGCATAAACCAAAACAATCAAACAATCCCATGTTGATCCAAACTCCCCTCCTTGCAGTGTTGCCTGTTGCTCTCTCCTTTTCCCACAGCCTCCTCACTTCAGCACTCTGCAGGACCTGGAGCACTCAGATCCAGACCTTTCCCAGTCATTTGAGGTGTCTGGATATTTCACATCATTCTTTCTCCCAGTTTTTCCACAGTCTCAAGCAGATGAAGTGAGCACGGATTCCCTGTGCTCACATGCTCCCTGTTATTCTCTTCTTCAGTGTGAAAATTTAGTAAAGTCAAGTGAGGTGAACACTCCAGCACATGCAGAGTTTGAGACTATGCTGCTGATATCCCACTACTACGCCACCCGCTCCGCTGCTCAGGGTGTGAAACAACTGGTAAGGGTCTTGAAGTTACTTTATCAAGTCAGCACTGTGAGTGCAGAGCTGCATGGGGGGACATGCAGGTTCAGGGCATGATGACCCAGAGGTGGTTCACTGGGAGCAGGAATTGCTGCCCAACTCAGTGAGGCTTCAGCAGGTGAAAAAAAAAGGCAGCCAGAAGGAGGCCAGAGAACAGCAAAGATGAGAAGGATAGGCCTGGAGATACACAGTCAGTGGGAAAAGACTGAAGGAAGAGATAACAAAAAATAACTGCTGGAACAGAAAAGAACCTGTTTTTAAAATCTTTGTACGCGTCAGATAATTAAGGAATCTAATTACTGCAAGGGAGAGGCAGGTTAGATAGAAGGAAATGCTTTCTAGCAGGTTTCCAGCTTGGAATGGCCATGAACAAAAACTCCTTCAATTAAGGCTTTTAGGATAGACAAGTGTGTCAGTAAAGGTGGGTGCAGAGCTCTGCTATGAGGTTATACGATCTCAGGAGATCTCTTCCAGCCCGATTCTTTTCCATGCTTATTGTTGTGGCTTTACTGTCCCTTGTGTCTACAGGACACCGTGGCTGCCAGGTTGTCCATTTCTCTGCTGCGTCACACTGATCTCCTTCCTGCAGACAAAGCCTTCTATGAAGCTGGGATAGCAGCCAAGGTGAGAGCTGTCTGCCACAAGAGCGGCCCAGAGATTCCAAGCTTTATCTTCCATGGTCTCCCCCAGCTGCACTGACATGTGAGCAGCCAGATGCTGGCTTTGGAGACCTTTCCTCAAACATTTTGTACATCATGATGTAGTGGAAGAGCAAACCTGAAGTAGTAAGGGGACATGAACTGCAGACCCAGGGGGTAGACCAGAATTCTGTTTTGTGGCTTTGCTATTACAGATGCAGGACTCTTCATTGGCCCACCTTGCTCTGGGTCACCTAATTGCTACCACCTAACTGTTATCTAATGACTACAGGCTCTGACCTCCTGCCCAGACATAATGACACACAGCAAGCATAGCAGCATGTTCTTACTGTTTGGTGCTGGCTTTCCAGCCCATTGTTCACATGGGAGGGTTGTGGCTGGGAAGATAAACCATCCACTGCTTGGTCTCACTTGTGGTTTCTCTCAATACTAGGCAGTCAACTGGGAGAACATGGCCTTCATCTTCCTGAACCGCTTCCTGGACTTCTCAGATGTGCGTATCTTCTGCTGGGGGGACGTTCTGCATGCCCCATCCCTGCAGGCATTCAAGGCCAGGCTGGATATGGCTCTGGGCAGCCTGGTCTGCTGGTTGGCAACCCTGCACATAGCAGGGGGTTGGAACTAGATGATCATTGTGGTCCTTTTTAACCAAGGCCATTCTGTGATCTATGATTCTATAACTGTCATGCTTCAAAATGACAGTGGGCTGTAGGGCTCTGCAGACCCAGCATATGGCCAGGGGATGCCTGAGGCTGAATGGGGCAGCACATCTGAGCTGGTATTGATGGAGAATGCATCAATGGGACCTGAACTTGCTTTGTATGTGGGGCTATAAAATGCCACCTCCCAGGAAGGCCCAGTCCTCACAACACTGATAGATAGGGGCACCACCTTTACAATACAGACTGTAGTTTGAGTGCCAAGGAGATCCACCACTTCTCCTTTCTCAGGCCATTGAAGAAGGGAACCTGGATGCTCTGGACCATTCAGATTTCCAAAACACAGACATTCCCTTTGAAGTGCCACTCCCAGCCCATCAGCACGTGCCTGTGAGTATCATCCCCCTCTGTTAGCTCCCTAGAAATGCTGCCTGAAGGCCCTCTCTGAAAAGGGACTTGTATATGGGTGGCACTACAGAAGATGGACAAGCAGCCAGCACCATCCACCACAAACACACCTGCAGCCCCTGTTTACATACACTCATGCACTCTCACTCTCCCTCTGCTATACACACTCACTCGTGCACACATGCATGCACTCACTCCCCACTTCTTGCACACACACAGCATACAGTACCCCTGTCCTCTGCCCTGCAGGAGGAGAAGCGGGAGGAGGTGAGGGATTGGGTGCTCACCATGTCCATGGACCAGCGGCTGGAGCAGGTGCTGCCACAGGACGAACGTGACACATACGAAGCCTCCTTGGTGGCTGCAGGCACAGGGGTGCACTCCCTGCCCTGTGTGCTTACAGGTGAGCTCTGGGCCAGCTCACAGCTACGCAGGGAGTTGGAGCATTTTGCACGTTGATTTGAGAGGGGTCAGGCAGCAGTGTAAGAGGAGCAGGGCAGCGAAGTGGCTGCCTTCTACAAAAGCTGCCCCAGTGTGAGGAACTGCCCATGGCTGGGAGGGATGCATAACGCAGGAGGGCTGCTGTGGGGCTTGGTTAGTTGATGAGGGTGTCACTGTGTGGCCAGGGTACCCCGTGCTAAGGAACAAGATCGAGTTCAAGCGGCCGGGCCGAGAAGCCAACAAGGACACGTGGAACAAGTTCCTGATGGCTGTCAAGGTGAGCAAGGCATTCATTCCCCCATGCTGATAATTAATCATTTTCCCACTGGTGGAGCTACACCAACCCAGGGCCATTTCATTGTGCCTCCATTGAATTAATCTCACAGTACCGGGGCACAACTCACCCTGCAGGTGCAGCTCTGCCAGCTCCCAGGTGGGAGAAGGCAGCCACACTTCCCCCTCTTTTACTCTGCAGACATCCCACAGCCCTGCATGCCAAGACGTGCTCAAGTTCCTCAGCCAGTGGTGTGGGGGGCTCCCAAGCACCAGCTTCTCTTTCCAGTGAGCCGGACCATCCTGTTCCTCAGCCCCCTCTGCTTCTATCCTCCAATAAACACCTCTCAACCCTTCTGTGCTCCCGTTTGTCAGGGGATGCAGTGCCCAGGGACACGTAGCTCCTGGAGGACAGAGCCACAGCCCTTCCTCTCACTTCCTTGACCTCGACATGACTGCTAACCACGCAGCCTCCTCACTGAGGGGTGAAGCATCACACTGCAGCCTGTGCTGGGAGGGAGGGAGGAAGGGCTGACACACACCTTGCGCTGTCCTACGAGGAGCAAACCCAGCTCCCTGCAAGCATCCACACTGGGGAAACTGCAGCCAGTGTAAAAATGAAAACTTTTATTTACTCAAGGAAACAATGGAGGTTTACAAGAAGGGGGTTCTTCGCCTTCTATTCATCAGCCTGCTTTTGAGCACCAACTCTGCAGGTGGAGCACCAGCACCAAGGCCAACCCCAGCTATTGCCAGGCCTCAGCACTTCTTCCTGCCCCCACCCAGTCCCTCTACCTTCCCACAGCTGTGCATGTAAGAGACTGACACAGCTTTTGGTGCATCAGGAGTCTTGTGGCCCAGGGAGGGATAGGGAGGATAGGAAGAAACACAGCATCTGCTGGGTGAAGGCTGCTGGTGCTTCTGGGCAGTTGATACCTGGGACCAGCAGGGTTTATCCCGGGGAGGGTGGTGGGGTCTTGGGGAGGAGCACAGCCCCATGCCTACACCTGCAGGAGGTGCAGCATCACCCCGCTGTACAACAGCACTCGTGCAGCACCACCTGCAGGGAAAGAGAGTGGGTGTGAGCCCAGCACTGCACTGCAGGGCCGTGCCCACACCACTGCACTCACCTCTCCGCTAGGCGCACGTCTCAGCCAGCCCCACCAGCAGCTGCCTTTCCTTCACCGTACCTGGCCTGGCCACCTAGAAGAAAAGTGGTGGAGGGAGTGCACTAACAGGGGGTGCAGGGAGTGCTGAGGCGGGGCAGGGAATCCTCAGCCCAGAGCCAGCAGTCAGACAGGGACGCCTGTGTGCACAGTTAGGACGTACCTGGTCCTTGCTGTAGCCGCGTGCACAAGGGCCGATGCCCTGCAGGACCAGGGCTGCTAAAGAGCACCTTCCAGACAGCACAGCTTCTGCAGCTGCCAGCAGCATGGAGGGGAACCAGAGCGCCAGGGCCGTGTCCTGCAGAACAGAAGGTGGGGGGGGGCTCTTGGGAGGCACGGACCGCAGCGCCCACCCAGAGCTGAGAGGGGCCCGTGCGGACCGACGGGGGCCGGGATGGAGGGAAGAGAGAGAGAAAAAAGCCAGAAAATTGAGAAAGCAGAAGCAAAGGAGAGGGCCGAGCAGCGGGCCCACACGTACTCACATAGATGCGCGTGGTGTTGAAGGGACAGTCGTTGGTGGCTATGGCCGCGCGGGCGTCAGCCGGCAGCGCGGGGCTGTTGCAGCCCGTGACCAGGCGCATCCCACGGCTGTGGATGGTGAGCGCGATGGCCAACGCCAAGCCCACGCTGCAGGCTGTGGACAGCAGGCAGTTCAGCAGGGATACGCTCAGCAGGGCCCAGTGCTGCCAGCATAAGGAGAGCGTGTGAGAGCGGGATGGCCAGGGTAAGACACGGGGTTGGGCACACCGTGGCTCTGCATGGGGTCACCGGGAACCTTGCAGAGGTTTCTGCCACATGCTATGCACATCCCTGGCTCTTGGTGTGCTTCAGCCATCCTCTGGGCTGTGTCTCAAAGAATTACAGAATGGTTTGGGTTGGAAATGATCTCAAGGATCATGAAGCTCCAACTTCCCTGCCACACACAGGGCCACCAAACTCCACATTCAATACCAGCCCAGGCTGCCCAGGGCCCCATCCAACCTGGCCTTGAACAGCTCCAGGGATGGACGGGGCATCCACAGCCTCTCTGGGCAGCTGTTCCAGCACCTCACCACTCTCATAGTAAAGAACTTCCCCTGGCATCCAACCTAAATCTTCCCTCCTTTAACTTATAAACCATTTCCCCTCGTCCTGCAGTTATCTACCCTTTCAAAGAGTTGATCCCCCTCCTGTTTGTAGGCTCCCTTTAGGTACTGAAAGGCTGCAATGAGGTCACCCCGCAACCTTCTTTTCTCCAGGCTGAACAAGCCCAGCTCCCCCAGCCTGTCTTCATAGGGGAGGTGCTCCAGTCCCCTGATCATCTTTGTGGCCCTCCTCTGGACCCTCTCCAACAGCTCCCTGTCTTTCTTGTACTGGGGGCTCCAGACCTGGACACAGTGCTCCAGATGGGGCCTCACAAGAGCAGAGTAGAGGGGAACAATCACCTCCCTGTCCCTGCTGGCCACCCCTCTTCAGATGAAGATCTGATGCCTCACACTGCTTCACCTCACCCACAGAATCATAAAATGGCCTGGGTTGAAAAGGACCACAATGCTCATCCAGTTCCAACCCCCTGCTATGTGCAGGTCGCCAACCAGCAGACCAGGCTGCCCAGAGCCACATCCAGCCTGGCCTTGAATGCCTGCAGGGATGGGGCATCCACAACCTCCTTGGGCAACCTGTTCCAGTGCCTCACCACCCTCTGTGTAAAAAAAACTTCCTCCTAATATCTAACCTAAACCTGCCCTGTCTCAGTTTAAAGCCATTCCCCCTACCCTACAGACGCAGAGCCACAGACCACAGAGGCTCCCCCCAGCAGCAAAGCCCCACACACCCCTGCCCTGTGACCGCACTGCGAGATGTCAGACACATGGCTGCAACTTCACCCATTAGTTGGAACATTTCTGCCCTGAGAAGCCGCCCAGGGCCCGGGCTGCTGCCCACCTTCCTCCAGCACCTGCAGCCCCAGGAGCTGCCACAGCCCCAGCAGCAGAGGCGGAAAGAGCTGCTGGGTCCAAGGTCCAAGGGAGCGGCCGCCCAGGGTGCACCGAGCCGCGCTGAGCCCCTGCACAGCTCCATCCCCCCCATCTCCCACCCCAGCAGCCCCACACTCACCAGGGCAGCCCGGGAAAGGTTGCGTGACACCAGGATGGCAACGATGCCCACGGTGATGCTCTGCGGGGAAGAGATCCTCGCTCAACACACCACCACAGCCTCATCCACCCCCACCCCCTCCAGCCCAGCATGGGGTCCTTCCCCACCGCACGGCTCTCACCAGCAGCTCAGACACCACAGACACGACATTGGCCACCGCGTACTCAGGGGTGACGGCACTCTTGGTCCCGGCGACGTGCCGCAGGACGGAGCCGTGCACGATGGCTCCCAGCACCAGGTTGCTGTGGCCCAGCACGATGAGACCCAGCCCAGCACGCATCAGGCGCTGCGGCTCAGCCAGGGGCCCCGGCCACCATCGCCCCGCATGCCTGCCCGCCATGGCTGCCAGCAGCAGCAGCAGCAGCAGGCCGCCCGCAGCTGGAGCCGCCCCGAGGCGGAGCCCCACTCCTCCCCAGCCCGGAAAGAGGCAGCACTCAGGTATTTACAAAACAGTTTATTAAAAATAGGAAATGATAGAAATGAGATGCGGGAGCAGCGCCGCGTTCAGCCCCAAAGACGCATGCAGGGCTGTGGGCTCAGCCCCTCCGAGCACCCTCAGATAGAAAGGAGATGCAGAGGGAGCTGAGCGCTGGAGCACCTGGTGGCCCAGCAGAGCCCAGGCCAACACCACCACGAGGCTCCAGGCTGCCAGAGGCCCAGAGCACGCACAGGGCCCACAGCAGCACGCAGCAGCAGGGCAGGAGGGCCAAGCTCGGCTCCAGGATGCTGCAGCAGGGGACACAGCCCAGGGGAGCACACGCTGCAGCCCTGCACCTGCAGCACAGGCCGATGTGCAGAGCTGCGGGGCTGTGCAAAATGAGTAAACAAAGTGCAGCCAAAGGGGAGCGGAGAGGCGAAGGGCCAGGCCTGGTGCTGGATCCCTCTGCCCAGGGACGAGGCTCGTGACTGCTGCCACAGGCGGTTGCAGAATTGGGGATACAGAGAGAGAACAGGGCTTAAGGGCTCCCCTCTGCTTACCTTTAAATTAAAAAAACAAAAAAAAAAAGAAAACGAAAAAACCATTTCTGTGCTGTGCAAAAAGACACTTTGTACAATCCAAACAAATTCCATGCACATGAACGGGGCTACAGAACACCCCGAGCCAGGACCTGGCTCCCCAGCACCACCTGGCAAAATCCCAACAAAAACAGGGCTGGAAATAATACTGATGCGCAAAGTCCCCTTTAATAGGCGGGCAGGGAGGATCGTTGCTGGGCCCAGCCACAGCACATGCAGGATGAGCTTCCAAGCACTGCAGCTGGGGGCTTGCTGATGCCCTACGGTGATGGACAGACACAGAAGGGGTCACAGGCAACAAAGCTGCACCGGCCGCCCTGGAGCCAAGGGATGCTATGATGACACCGTCACTGCCGTCAGAGCTCCGTTCCGGGTGTAGTAGAACTTGCTGAATGCCTCTTCAAGTAAACAGGTAAGTCTGCTCTGGTCAGCCTGGGGGAAACAAGTCAAAGTGAGGGGTGGTGCAAAGCCAAGAGTTTGCTTACAACCTGCCCAAGTACATGGGCAGGAACATGTGCTACTTCTCCTACCTCCCCAGGCAGACAAGGACAATAAAGCCTGAGAAAGGAATGCAGAGTTACATTCCTGCTCGAGACTCGAAGCTGCTCACCTCACTGATGAATCCAAGCTGGACCAATTCAGCTGCCAGCTCCTGGATATTATCATCTGCAACACAGGAAAGCGTGTAAATCCTGTGTCCAGACTGCACTGCTGACTCCAGTGCTCGAGAGTACAGGAGGAGAGGCACTTACTGGGCTGCAGGTCACAACTCAAGTGTCGATTCAACTTGTCTTCCAGTTTCAGCAGCAGTGTTAACTGCAGATTAGAGAAGCTCTCGTGAGCATACACAATTTTGCACGCTGCCACAGTACAGGCAGCAGCCAGCACAGCTAGGAATGTTCCCCCAAACCCACACTGGGATAGGAATCACCCTCTCCCCTGCCCCTGCAGAGCTCCACTGGAGTCTAAGAGGAAAAAACACACCCAGTTCCATTATTCCCAACCCTTGCCAGCAGCACAACCACGTGGAAGGAGTGCCCTAAGCCTGTATCTGGAGGATAAGCCATAAATGCTAGCTAAACAGCAGGCCATCTATAGGCACAGGCTGTAGATGTCACTGTTCATCACAGGACTATGTGACCTTTAAGAGACCTTTTCAACCCAAGTTGGGCCTCAATCTGGTTTTGTGCCCCAAGGACTGCAGCTCTGGCAGCAGCACATCACATCAGATTCCAGCAGCACATCAGCACAGTGATGCCACATGCTCAGCACCCCCCCCACACACAGAACACTCAGCCAGAAGGTGGGACCATACATGGTGCTTCACTCCCTCCTCTACTGACTCAATGTTGCACTGCATCAGCACCACCTGAAAGAGAAGCAGAGACACCCCGTGAGCCACTGCTGCTCACAGAACAGCTGCATGGGGAGGGGTGGAGGTGCTGTGTCTCACCTTGCGGGTTTCCACTTCTGCTGGCTCTGGAGTTGGGGTTTTTACTGATGGTGGAGCAATGGGAGACTTCACCACTACCTGCTGGGGCTGCTGAGGTCGTGGCATCCCAAAAGCTGTGAGTGGGTAGATACCATTCCTACAAAGAATCCGGATCTGAGGTTATGCCTCTCCTAAAAATCACTCCAGTCTCACACTCAGTTCAAGAGGTACTTAAAAACAAACACACACTATTCCAAAAATCAAACAAAGACACCAAGAAATGATCTCTGTTACCTTACATCCTCCAGGAACTTGTCCAGCTCCAGTGCTGGAGACTGTGAGAATCTGGAGGGAAAGAAGTATTGCAGTGAGAAGCCATTAACAGAACCACATCAACATCCACTCAAGTCTATTTGGATGCAGTTTCAAATCCCCGTATCCCAGATTGCAGCTACATAAGCAGGCAGGGTAAGTACAGTCAAAGTGAAGTGTACTCCACTCTTCCTACACCAGTTCAGAGAAGCTAACAGCAAGGCAACATTTTAATGGTGGCAGAAACAGGCAGCACTTCCCCTTAGAGAGCTGTCCAGTGCAAATAATTATTTGGAAATTGCTTCCCCAAATTGTTCTGGCCAGATTTTACCATGAATTGCTCCAGCAACAGTGTGCCCATTTCCCTCCCACCAGCTTGGGAGGAAGGCACATCTCAGCTGTGTGGAGTCTGTCTATGCAAGTTCTTCTCCCACTGGGCAGACAGCAGCAAGAGATCCTCCAGCACTCACCCACTGCCCAGAGCAGATCCCTCTGAGCACACCAAGGGGTACTCACATCATTTTGACTCCTTCCCTATCCGCATGGTTGATTTCTGCCAACACTGCACTCATGTCAAGGTTTTTGGTCATTTCTTCTAAAGCGTTTTCAGGAATCATATCTATTAAAAAACAAAAAAGTTAGACCTGAACAACTGCATTTCTTTTCCATGCTAAGAAGAAAAATCCTAGAGAGTTGCAGTGGTAACTCAGCAAAGCTTTATGTAACACAACATGGCACCCTGGGACTCTGTACTCACGCTGATGCCCAACGATGCAGTGAGCAGCAAGCAGCTTTAGTGATGGCACCTCAAACAATGCCTGATGAAAAAGGAGCTCCCGGGCTGTAGGACGTTTGCCTGGGTCCTGTTCTAGACACTTCTGAATGAACTCCTACAAGACAAAGACAGTATGAGACCATGCACAAGGCCCATGTGGGCGCTGACCCCTCTGCACTCACCCTCTGCAAGGGGTCCTCCAGCAGCTGGATGGCACTGTTAATGGCCTCCTGGGGCACGTAAGATGACTCTCCATTACCCTGTATTTCCAGCACTGCCATCTGCAAGCACAAAGCAGCACGTTGGACTTCACTAAGAAGTGATTAAGATCACTGCTGGCAAGTATGAGATCATAACAACCAAGTTGATTGGTGTTATTTAAGGTGACGGTTTGTGAAGGCAGAGAGTTATGATAGCTTGGTTCCAGCACCTTAACAGATTGCCAAGAAGTCCTTAAAACTATGCCAGCACCTCCTCAGACAGTTAGTCTCTCTATTTTGAATTTCACGGTCCATTGGCCTGTAGTTCTGCTTGACAACTCCCATCCTCTAATGAAGCAGAAAGTGGATCACTGCCAGAACCTGGCAGTGCCCTCCTGGCTGCATGAATAGCTCTGTTTTACAAGCAGAAAAGCAAACACACAATGCCATCCAGAACTCACTCCAAAACATCCACAAGTTTCCAATAGGGAAAGGGTGGCAGAAGATTCCAGAGGATGTCTGAAGATTCAGCAAGGCAAAGTGCCTTTGTCTCAGAGAATAAAAAGCTCCTGTTACCAAACTAACACACCCATAATCACAGCAACTCCAAACAGCCATGTCCTCCCTTGAATTTATTCTCCTTGTCCCATAATCAGAGTATTCCCAACTCACCTCCAGGGCACACATCCCAAAGGAATAAATATCCACAGCAGTGGTAACATTGGCAACTTCTGTAACACAGAAACAATGCTGCTGTCAGTCTCCTTCTGCACCCAGCAGCAGGACAACCTCTGTATCAAGCTATGACAACCTGCAGCCTTCTCTCCCTCCCATGCTATCAGAAGGCAAAAAGAGTTGGAACAATTAAACTGGCAAATAAGACAGAAATTGATAATGGGACATCACTCATAAGATTGCAGCTGAAAACAAGGTGCACAACAGCCTGGGAGCCTCAGTGAGACAGGTCAAGCAATGAATGGCACATCATACCTCCATATTCCGGAGCAAAGAAGTGCAGGTTCTTCTGCTCCTCCCGACACGTCTTCACGTGGTTGTTTATTGTGTCTGGTGCCACTAGAAGAAAGTAACAAATGCTTAGGATGCAAGAAATCTTAGCCCATCCCCAGACGTGTCCTAAGGAACGCCCTGTTGAAATGGCAAGCCCTGAAAGGATCTCACTTAAATCATTTGTAGTATTTGTTGCAAGCAACCCAGCTGTAATAGAAGCCCCACGAACAGCCAGGATCACTGCAGTTACAGTCACTACCTCAGGGCTCCAGGAAAAGAACAGCTTTTCCTAGCTGACCCTTCCACACGTCAGCAGGACACCAGTGCCAAGGTTCCTCAAGAGGAAAGTCATGGAGAGATGAAATCTGACCACCCTGATAGCACAGAACTCCAGCAGCCAGCCCCTGCATGGCCTCTAATACAAACCATTCAGAGGTGAAGGAGGGGAGGGAGCAACTCCCAGCAACAAGAAAGAGGAGCAGAACACAAGAATGGACCCTCATTTTTGCTTTCTGTTTTTTGCTTATTCTGCTTTACAGATACCAGCAGGTATCAGCTTCACAGGATTAAGAAAAATGAGTTAAATTCTTGGTCTTCCTTTTAAAACCTGCTCTGCATTTTCCCCAGCAACACTGCTGTAGATGAGTAGGGCCACAGAGCCCAGATCCTCTTTAACTCCCAAATGATGAGCTCTG